CACCTTTGGATTATTATCCCGAGAATGAGTGGTGAAATCGTACACTGGTACCTCACAACTCTTTCCTTCGCGGAGCCGAGTTAAAACCTAGAAAAAGCAAATTGAGTATAAAGTAGAATGCAGAGAAGAAACTTGCAAAACCCAAAAAAAAACCTCAAACAGCAGATCGAAATCGAAGGCATTGGGATGGTCAAAATTGTAATTTGATTCTTCTGCAAGAGCGTGCTCTTTCTCGTTCAGTACCTATGGAAGAAATCTTGGATAATCTGTTAACGGGATCTCTAAACTATATTCTACCTTATAAAAGCTATCCATACTCAAGATTGTCACCCACGGTATCTCCAGCTTTTCAATGATCTTCTCTGCAACTGTGGTTTTACCACTGGCTGAACTGAAAATGAAACGAGTGAACAGGGCAATTTTAGGTCTTCATGGAATATAAAGCCAACTTCAAATTTAATTACTAACAGAATCGCCGGTCCAGATGTAACGCAGCTCTGTTACCTTCTGGGAGCTCGAAGAGATGTCATTTATCTAACATATTAGTGAGATCAAGGTGCGCTCTGTTACCGAGGGAAATTTTTTGCGAAATACGACTCCCCTCTGCAAGTATTCCACGCCTCTTTCGCCATTCCACAAGAGGAAAAACGTCAAAAATATCGGGCTAAGGTCGATCATCCCCATTTCAGCGACCAAATACAACCCCATCCGCTGAGGATTCCCAAGTGTGAGAAATGCTTTAAAGGCACTTTCCGCGATAAAATAAGGCTATGACCTTTCAAATGTGTCAGACGATCCGGAAGGAGATTGCGGAGGCTGCGCTACCTTTAGAAAGTGAAAATCGGCAAGAATTCCGCTTTAAGCTAACCAATTAGGCCCATGGGCGCCCCTTAGGCCCATGCCGACCCCCACCGGCTGCTAGCTACTAGCTAGTAGCCACTATGCTATCTCTCTCCATTCCGAATGGTGAGAGTGAGGTGATACGATAAAAGAGCTGATATCTTTATGATAACGACGAGTGGAAATTCGTACAAACATGCGTTTTCTTCATTGCATGCATGTACAAGTTGGGGTCGATATGGAATCCTATTTAGGGCATTTTCGGCTGTTTTTCTGCTGCTTTCTCCGCTAATCAGATACCTAGCCCTTTTTCGTTCCTATGTGGGTTCCGTTACCCACAATCTGTGGTCGCGGGCTTTGCCTTTAAGTAAGATCAGTGAGATAACGTATCACATCAATAACGGGGAAGAGAGCATCGCATCATAATCAGTGACATCTCAAAACACATCATCAACGTGCAAAGTGACGTCATCTATCTCTTGATAACATACAACAACATGGCAACATACTCAATCTTATCTATGCTGAACCATCGCCGATTTCCTTAGTTTACCGTATAAAAGCCTCCTTCCGATATCGAAATCTACAATAAAGCGATAATTCAAGCAAAGAACCAACCCGCCACAGATGCCAATGACATACGGCTGCTTGAGTGTATTTCCTCTGCTGTCATACCACGGCGGCCTCCCTTTTGTGTATATTTTCTGGAATGAATGAGCATCAGTCTTGTTTCCACCGTTCTCAGATCAGTCAGTATCTATTCTAAAAAAGATTCATGGCAGAAGGATAGGGATAAACGGATATTTCCAAGGCAAATTAAGGAACCATAAAGTCACAGGAACCGAGGTGCTACTTAGCCAAAGGGAAGGGGGCGTAACAGCATGGCGCGGCCAGAAGGGACTTCCCTCTCGTGGTTTAGACTCAGAAGGGAGCAGTCGACCCACGGAGTCCACACGTCTCAGGGCACAGAGAAGCGAGTTTGGTGGCACCGTCGCTTGCCTTTCCCGACCTCCCTAACTAGTATACCGCTGAAATCTAGATGATCTGATAATACATGGGCATCTGGCGCTGAGCCAAACCATCGCCCCATGAACACGCCCCATCATCCGCAGGACAAGACTGTGAATGCGCCTTGCAAGTCACTGAATAGGATCTAACTCGTAGT